CCTTGACGCCATTGGTAATGCTCGGTATCTATCAAAGTTAGACTTACTCAAGGGATACTACCAGGTATGTTTGACAGAGCGAGCTAAGGAAATATCTGCCTTTACCACTCCCTTTGGCCTTTACAGATACGAACGCCTTCCATTTGGACTATGTAATGCCCCGGCCACCTTCCAGCGAGCTGTCAACCGTGTCATCCAGGGCTTAGATAACACCTACACCTACTTGGATGACATCGTTGTGGCAACCAACACCTGGAGCGAACATCTGCTCCAGCTGCAACGATTGTTTGCCAAGCTCCTGACAGCCGGCCTCACCACCAACTTGGGCAAGTCCACCTTTGCCAAAGGTAAAGTGCGTTATCTTGGTCATGAGATAGGGAGTGGCAGCCTAGCTCCGTTAAACATACATATCCGTGCAATCCAGCATTACCCACAGCCTACAACCAGGAAGCAGCTCCTGTGCTTCCTTGGTCTTGCCTCCTACTACCGTAGGTTTGTGAAGAATTTTAGTACGGTGGCGAAACCTTTGATCACTTTAACCAACCCCAAGCTACGGTATAATTGGACCATTCAGCAGACCATTGCTTTTGCACAACTTAAATTCCTGCTCTGTTCTAATCCTATTCTCGCCTAGCCAGATATCACGAAGCCTTTCACCCTCCATGTCGACGCCAGTGGTACCGGCATCGGGGGTGTCCTGATGCAACAACGAGGCGAGGCGAGAACAGCTACAAGATAAAAACCACACCAGAAGAATTACAGCACGATCAAAAAGGAGCTACTCTCCATCGTCCTGAACTTGCAGCCCTTTGAATCATACTTGCAAGGTGCTCGGTCTACCACCATCTACTCGGACCACAATCCCCTACGCTTCCTGCAGCAAGCCCAATTCAACAATCAACGACTTCTGGGATGGGCTTTGTATATGCAGAATTTCAACCTGGAGATCTTCTACATTCTCCTTCATTCCAACAATATGAACGTAGAAAGGTGCGTTGTCTGAGCTTTGTGTATGGCGAGGCAGGTACAGTGTATGGGTGAGGGTGAGGGGAGGGTCGCCGCCGTCTCAGTGCCGCCGTCTCAGTGCCGCCACCCACCAGCCCCCAGGGGGGGGGGGGTACGGGGGGAGGGGGGAGTGATATATGGGGGGAGGCTCTCGAGCTGCCTACGGTGATGTTAGTGGAAAGTTAGTGCGTTCATAAGCAAATCGGTGAGTGTAGTGTTAAAAACAAAGTGCACTAGTGATTTCCCCGAGTGTTGATAGTGTGTATCAAGTGTGACGGCGGCCTCCCTTGCGTGCCCCCCCTCCACCACCCTCGCCCGCCATCTTCCCCCACCCCGCTACCTGCGCCCGACCCAGCCAGCCGCCCATCAACACACAGCCTACCCACACACGGTGCCCAGGCCATGTCCAACTCCCCCAGGAGGTAATGCTTGCCGTGTTACTCTCCACCTGGGAAGGAGAGGGCGCACTCAGGGGGCAGCCAGGCGTCATCACATCTAGGCATGGCACATGTCGCACCTGACACACAGTCTCTTTCCAGCCAAGAAGATGACCACACAAGAGGAAACTGTCAAGTGTGTGACAGACGGTATCGTCTCAATTCAAATGGAACTGTCCGCTATCATTCTGCCAATTCAGGTGGTTGTCTAGGGTCTAGGCGCCTGCCCCGGGGCAGTGACGATGGACAACCTGCTGCAGGAGCGAGGAACAATACCTCCCTCAAATTCATTTCAGCAGATAATCTGCTTGAAGCAGTCAAAGCGACGTCCACCAGGACCTTGCCCCACATCCCCAAGGCTGCCCGTCATCAAGCAGCAGCCAAACTCACCAGTCTGCTGACAAAGGTCAACAATGCTCGCAGAACCTCTGGATCGTGGCACAATCTCCTTCTATTTGGAAATTCATGCCTAGCATTACCGCCCAGGAGAGACAAGTCATTAGCAACCTCTGTAATCAGGGCACTTAATGAATTCCCCAGAGCAGACAACCTGGTCCGCCTTCCCCCTCGTGCCAAGAACACCAGCCGCAGGACGACTAACAATAACTCATCTGAGAACCACAAAATGAGAGCACAGATCACCAGGAAAATAGAAGAGGGCAATACCACAGGTGCCATCAGAATCATGACCAGCGATGACACTACTGCCCCCAGGAACGCCACGACAGCAGAGGCTCTTCAAGACAAACACCCACCCAGAGCCCCCGACAGCAGCAGGGATCCCCAGGAAAACAATGCTGGCATAGAACCCTTGACTGTTCGAGAATCTGAGGTGTACAAAGCAGCCATGTCTTTCCCAACAGGTTCAGCAGGGGGCTTTACAGGCCTAAGACCCCAGCACATCAAACAAATGCTGAACCCGGTGCTTGGAGATGCTGCAAAGGACCTTCTAGTGGAACTTACCAGATTCTCCAACATGTGTTTGGCTGGCGGCATCCCTGAGGACATCAGGCCTGTCTTTTATGGAGCAGCACTCTGTGCTCTAAAGAAGAAGGATAGGGGTATCAGGCCCATTGCCGTTGGCAACACCCTCCGACGCCTCGTAGCTAAGGCTGCAGTCAGATCTATCAGCCAGGAAGCAGCCACCTTGCTGAAACCTCATCAGCTCGGGTTTGGGATCCCCCTAGGTTGTGAGGCTGCAGCACATGCAGCGCGAGCTTACATTGCTGATCTCCCGGACCAGAAGGCACTAGTGAAGCATGACTTCAAAAATGCCTTCAATCAAGTCAGACGAGACGCTGTCCTCAGGGCTGTACACAACCATTTCCGTCCCCTTTACCCATTTATCCGATCGTGCTACAGTGGGGATTCTAAGCTTCTTTTTGGGGAGCATGAAATAAACTCCTGTGAAGGTGTCCAACAGGGTGACCCCTTAGCCCCCCTCCTTTTCTGCCTAGCTATCAAAGAGGTCACTGATAGTCTGACAAGCGAGCTAAACATCTGGTACCTGGATGATGGCACTCTAGCTGGAACTCCGGAAACCATTTTGGAGGATATAAGGAAAATCCAGGAGCAGGGAGCAGCCTTAGGCCTCATTCTCAATGCATCCAAATGTGAAATAATCTCCCGCAACCCAGACATCACTGGGCAAATACAAAATGTTCTTCCAGACATTCTCGTTGTCGAGCCACCGGACTGCACTCTCCTGGGTGCCCCCATTGGCCCACGAGCAATCGAGGAGGTCCTGGCTGCAAAAATCACTGACCTAAAGAGAATGCTGGACAGGGTTGACAAGATTGATGCCCATGATGCTCTCTTTCTCCTCACAAGATGCCTGTCTCTCGCTAAGTTGACCTACTTTCTGAGATGTTCTCCATCCTACAGCAGCCCTAAGTTAAATGTGTATGACACCCTTCTGAGGTCCATGCTGGTGAAAGTCCTGAACCTGCCATTGGACGACTCTCAGTGGGAACAAGCAACCCTTCCTGTAAGACTCGGCGGCCTTGGTGTCCGCACAGCCTCCCAAATTGCTCTACCAGCCTTCCTTTCCTCCTCCCATGCATCGCACGACCTCGTCAGAGATATTTTACCTGCAACCCTGAGAGATTCAGCAGAAAAACACGATCCTGCTTTCACTGAATGTTCAAATCAGTGGGATGTTTTTGCAGCCCCAGCAACCATTATAGAGCCAACAAAACAACACAAACAGTCCGGCTGCGACCACCCTCTAGTGGGAAAAGTAGCTGATGCCATGCTCAGCGTCGCAATATCAGACGAGGAGAAAGCCCGCCTCAGAGCAGTGCGTGCCCCCCATGCAGGAGACTTCCTCCTGGCAGTACCCATGTCAGCAATGGGCACGCGCCTAGATCCAGAATCCCTTCGTGTAGCAGTGGCGCTCCGCCTTGGTGCCCCAATTCACACTGAATACAAGTGTATTTGCAACAGGGTGGAAGCAGACCAATACGGACTGCATGGGTTGCATTGCGGAAGCACAAAGGGCTGGCATGCAAGACGCAACGAGGTCAATGATATCATCAAGAGAAGCCTCGTCTCAGCTAGGTGCCCAGCGGAGAGAGAACCTCGCATCCTAGGGGTCCAAAACCCGGATTTCCCCGCACTTCGCCCTGATGGCATCACCATATACTCATGGAAGGAGGGTAGACAGTTGGTGTGGGACTACACATGTGTATCCACCCTGGCTGACACCTATGTACACTTCGGAGCTGATCAAGCAGGTGGGGTGGCCAACCACAGGGAAACAGCTAAATCACTCAAGTACAGGTGACTGGAAGGTCAATACCTCTTTGTTCCCATAGCGTCTGAGACGCATGGCCCCTGGGGCAAGAGTGCTTTGGGATTTCTCAAGGAATTGGGTTCCAAGCTCATTGACGTCACCAGAGACCCCAAGGGCTTGCTGCGTCCTCGGTTCCTGTCCAGAAGCGGAGGAGCTTCAAGAGATCCATAACCTTTAGGAATTTGTCTTGTATGTTTTGTAACCTTTAAATACACAATAAAGGAAAAAAAAAAAAAAAGGGAAGGGGGTGGTAGGAGAAAAGCACACAGAAACTGTATTGGAGGGGACCTACATTCCCTCCAATGCGTTATGTGTGGTTTCCTCCGAGGCTATGGGTCCCCTTCTTCCAGCCAGAGGTGGTACTCCCTTCCCTTTTTGATTATAGTTATTAAATATATATATATATATATATATATATATATATATATATATATATATATATATATATATATATATATATATATATATATATACATATATTATCATCTTTGACAGGGACGGAGGGCTATATTACCATCTGTGACAGGGACGGAGGGCTATATTACCATCTGTGACAGGGACGGAGGGCTATATTACCATCTGTGGCAGGGACGGAGGGCTATATTACCATCTGTGACAGTGACGGAGGGCTATATTACCATCTGTGACGGACGGAAGGCTATATTACCATCTGTGACAGGGACGGAGGACTATATTACCATCTGTGACAGGGACGGAGGGCTATATTACCATCTGTGACAGGGACGGAGGACTATATTACCATCTGTGACAGGGACGGAAGGCTATATTACCATCTGTGACAGGGACGGAGGCGGTGCACCAGCTGACGCAGCCCTCGCCCCAGACACTGCGTCTGGCCGCCACCAACATGGAGGATGATCACCGCTGGGCGCTCTGGTCCACCTTCAGCGTCGCCAGCGAGAGTACCGGGTGAGTCTTGCTCCTTCCCTCTGTTGTTACTGTTGCTACTGTTGTTACTGTTGCTGCTGCTGTTGTTACTGTTGCTGCTGTTGTTACTATTACTGCTGTTCTTACTGTTGGTGCTGCTGTTGTTACTGTAGCTGGTATTGTTATTGTTGCTCTTGTTGTTACTGTTGCCGCTGGTGTTACTGTTGCTGCTGTTGTTACTGTTACTGTTGTTGTTACTGTTGCTGCTACTGCTACTGTTGCTGCTGTTGTTACTGTCGCTGCTGTTGGTAATGTTGCTGTTGTTGTTAATGATGCTGCTGTTGTTACTGTTGCTGCTGTTGTTACTGTTCCTGCTGCTGTTCTTACTGTTGCTGCTACTGTTGTTACTGTTGCTGCTGTTGTTACTGTTGCTGCTGTTGGTATTGTTGGGGTTGTTATTACTGTTGCTGCTGTTGTTACTGTTGCTGATGCTGTTACTGGTGCTGCTGTTGTTACTGTTGCTGCTGTTGTTACTGTTGCTGCTGTTGTTACTGTACCTGCTGTTGTTACTGTTGCTGTTATTGTTACTGTTTCTGGTGTCGCTACTGTTGCTGCTGCTGTTGTTACTGTTGCTGCTGCTGTTGTTACTGTTGCTGCTGCTGTTGTTACTGTTGCTGCTGCTGTTGTTACTGTTGCTGCTACTGTTGTTACTGTTGCTGCTGTTGTTACTGTTGCTGCTACTGTTGTTACTGTTGCTGCTGTTGTTACTGTTGCTGCTGTTGGTATTGTTGGGGTTGTTATTACTGTTGCAGCGATTGTTACTGTTGCTGATGCTGTTACTGGTGCTGCTGTTGTTACTGTTGCTGATGTTGTTACTTTTGCTGCTGTTGATACTGTTGCTGCTGTTGTTACTGTTGCTGCTGTTTTTACTGTTGCTGCTGCTGTTACTGTTGCTGCTGCTTTTACTGTTCCTGCAGTTGTTACTGTTGCTGCTGTTGTTACTGTTGCTGTTGTTACTGTTGCTGCTGCTACTGTTGTTACTGTTGCTACTGTTACTGTTCATGCTGCTGTTACTGTTGCTGCTGCTGTTACTGTTGCTGCTGTTACTGTTGCTGCTGTTACTGTTGCCACTGTTACTGTTGCTGCTGTTGTTACTGCTGCTGTTGTTAATGTTGCTGCTGTTGTTAATGTTGTTGTTGTTGTTACTGTTGCTACTGTTGTTACTGTTGCTGCTAATATTGTTGCTGCTGCTGTTGTTAATGTTGCTGCTGTTGTTAATGTTGTTGTTGTTGTTACTGTTGCTACTGTTGTTACTGTTGCTGCTGCTGTTGTTACTTTTGGTGGTGTTGTTACTGTTGCTGTTGCATCCAAACCACCCCTCCACCATCACCACCCACACCCACGCTCCACCATCACCACCCACACCACCCACACCACCCCTCCACCATCACCACCCACACCCACGCTCCACCATCACCACCCCTCCACCACCACCACTCATCCACCACCACCACCCACACCACCCTCCACCACCACCAACCACACCACCCCTCCACCATCACCACACACACCACCTCTCCACCACCACCACCCACACCACCCTCTACAATCACCACCCACACCACCCTCCACCACCACCACCCACACCACCCTCCACCATCACCACACACACCACCTTCCATCACCACCACCCCCACCACCCCTCCACCATCACCACCCACATCACCCTTCCACCATCACCACCCACACCACCCCTCCACCATCACCATCCACACCACCTTCCACTACCACCCACACCACCCTCCACCACCCCACACACACCACCCACCACCTTCACCACACAAACCACCCCTCCACCATCACCACCCACATCACCCTCCACCATCACCACCCACACCACCCTCCACCATTACCACCCACACCACCCTCCACCATCACCACCCTCCACCATCACCACCCACACCACTTTCCACCACCACCACCCACACCACCCCTCCACCACCACCACCCTCCAACACCGCCACCCACACCACCCTTCACCAACCCCACCCACACCCTCCTCCACCATCACCACCCACACCCCCTCCACCATCACCACCTACACCACCCATCCACCATCACCACCCACACCCCACCTCCACCATAACCACCCACACCCCCCCCTCCACCATCACCACCCACACCCCCCCTCCACCATCACCACCCACACCCCCCTCCACCATCACCAGCCACACCACCCATCCACCATCACCACCCACACCCCCCCTTCCACCATCACCACCCACACCACCCTCCACCATCACCACCCCTACACCATCACCACCCATCACCACCCACACCACACTCCACCATCACCACCCACACCACCCCGCCACCATCACCACCCACCCACCATCACCACCCATCCACCATCACCAACCAAACCACCCTCCACCTTCACCACCCACACCACCCCTCCACCATCACCACCCACACACCCCCCCCCCTTCCACCATCACCACCCTCCACCATCACCACCCACACCACCCTCCACCATCACCACCCACACCACCCCACCACCACCACCACCTACACCACCCCTCCACCACTACCACACACACCACCCCTCCACCACCACCACCCACACCACCCCTCCACCACAACCACACACACAACCCTCCACCACCACCACCCCCACCACCCCTCCACCATCACCACCCACACCACCCCTCCACCACAACCACACACACAACCCTCCACCACCACCACCCCCACCACCCCTCCACCATCACCACACACACAACCCTTCACCACCACCACCCACACCACCCTCCACCATCACCACCCACACCACCCCTCCACCATCACCACCCACACCACCTCTCCACCATCACCACCCACACCACCCCTCCACCATCACCACACACACAACCCTTCACCACCACCACCCACACCACCCTCCACCATCTCCACCCAAACAATCCCTCCACCACCACCACCCACACGACCCTCCACCACCACCACCACTACCACCACCCACACCACCACCCTCACCATCCTCTACCTCCACCACCCACACCACTATCCACACCACCACCCACACCGCCCCTCCACCATCACCACCCACACCCCCCTCCACCATCACCACATATCCACCATCACCACCCACACTACCCTCCACCATCATGACCCATCCACCATCACCACCCACACTTCCCCCCTCCACTATCACCACCCCTCCACCATCACCACCCTCCACCATCACCAACCATCCACTATCACTACCCACACCACCCCACCACTACCACTACCAACACCACCCCTCCACCATCACAACCCACCCCACCCTCCACCATCACCACCCACACCACTCTCCACACCACCACCCACACCACCCTCCACCACCACCATCCACACCACCCTCCACCATCACCACCCACACCACCCCTCCACCATCACCACCCACACCATCCTTTCACCACCACCACCCACTCCACCCCTCCACCACCCCCACACACATCACCCCTCCACCCCCACCACTCAAACCACACTCTACAATCACCACCCACACCACCCCTCCACCATCACCACCCACACCACCTTCCACCATCACCACCCACACCACTCTCCACCACCACCACCCACACCACCCTTCACCATCACCACGCACACCACCCTCCACCATCACCACCCACACCACCCTTCACCATCACCACCCACACCACCCTCCACCACCACCACCCACACCACCCTCCACCACCACCACCCACACCACCCTCCACCACCACCACCCACACCACCACCCATGTGGGAACCGACCTGTGAGATTCATATTTAATTTTTTTGAATTTATATAGAAGTTATATTTACGTTAATTTATATATTTCGATAGGAATTGGTATGATGCTAAGTGGACTGTATTTCTGCAATAATCTCACAAATGGGTCCTACTCCTTAGAGGGGGTTTATATTATATTTAGATATATGCAGCCAATCAAACTACAGTATTAACTACATATATTAGTATACATTGAAGAGGTTCTTTATCTTATTTTACAGCCAGCTTAGTCCACCAGATATAACTAGGATGTAGACACCAAATTATCCTCGTGTGAGGCAGCTTCCGTCACCCAGTAACTGATATACCAAGCTTGCTTCCTCTTCTTGTTCCTATCAAAGGGCGCTAGCTGTAAAGCCAGAATCCTAATATATGACAGCTATATCAGAGAAAACACTGTATATTATATATGATAAGGACCAAGGCTTAATTACCTTTAGTATGAGGCGAGTTCGCATTCTAACCGGTTCGCCCAATATCTACCTAACATTAATGGCCAAAAATGATTAGATAAACGGGTTTCGGTAGAACACTTCCCTTGATTATGTTGACAGAGTGTTGATGATGGAAGACCACTACTCTGATCTTCACACTTCGTCCAAGAGAAATTATAGGAGCCGAATTTGCTCCCTGCACCTCTGGTCTTAACAATGGCTGACCTCTCCTTCCTCAGTGATGCCTCCCTCACTTTGTAGAGATGTCAGTAACTGATAGAAGGGTCACATTTACTTTATTTCGATACTGATAATTAAGTTAATTCAAATGAGATGGTTTTATGATGGTAAAAGTCGAAAGACTAATGTATTTAAGAATAATTCCCAACAAATAGCTGGTGAATTTATAATAGTACGTGGTAATGATATCCCGTTTTCTATTGACGGATAATTCCACTACAAGCTACATTTTCTATTATTTAACTTGTGTATACAATGCAGCAGCAATATTATCTGCCTGTTGAATTGATATTAGTAAATGGCGTCGGGTTTTCCGACAACCCACACCACCCCTCCACCACCACTACCCACACCATGCCTCCACCACCACCACCCACACCACCACCCACACTACTTCTACCGTCTCCTACCATGGACCAGGTACCTGCTGCTGGTGGACGGGTATCAGGAAGAGAGTACCATGGGGGACGTCCTCATACGGCACGAGAACCTCAGTGGACAGAAGTTCTCCACCCTGGACAGAGACAATGATCTCTGGTCAAGTAAGTTTGGTCTTCACAGATGACGTCTTGGGGTGAGGATATTGTCCGTATTGTCCGCCATTAACAATATATTCCTGTAGGAACTATTGTTAACTTTCTCCTTTAAGGGACCATTTGTATAATATAATAAAGTTAATGTTATCACTTGATGATTATATTAGTGCACGACGGGGATAATGACCTTAACAAACACCTGAACCAGGAAGACCATTGTTTGTTCATCCTGGCTTGTGTGTGTGTTTGTATGTTATTGTTTGTGTGCCTGAGTGTACTCACCTAGTTGTACTCACCTAGTTGTGCTTGTGTGGGTTGAGCTCTGGCTCTTTGGTCCCGCCTCTCAACCGTCAATCAACAGGTGTACAGGTTCCTGAGCCTATTGGGCTCTATCATATCTACACTTGAAACTGTGTATGGAGTCAGCCTCCACCACATTGCTTCCTAATGCATTCCATTTGTCAACCACTCTGACACTAAAAAAGTTCTTTCTAATATCTCTGTGGCTCATTTGGGCACTCAGTTTCCACCTGTGTCCCCTAGTGCGTGTGCCCCTTGTGTTAAATAGCCTATCTTTATCAACCCTGTCGATTCCCTTGAGAATCTTGAATGTGGTGATCATGTCCTCCCTAACTCTTCTGTCTTCCAACGAAGTGAGGTTCAATTCCCGTAGTCTCTCCTCGTAGCTCATACCTTTCAGCTCGGGTACTAGTCTGGTGGCAAACCTTTGAACCTTTTCCAGTTTAGTCTTATGCTTGACTAGATATGTACTCCATGCTGGAGCCGCATACTCCAGGATTGGTCTGATATATGTGGTATATAATGTTCTGAAAGATTCCTTACACAAGTTTCTAAAGGCCGTTCTTATGTTAGCCAACCTGGCATATGCTGCTGATGTTATCCTCTTGATATAAGCTTCAAGGGACAGGTCTGGCGTGATATCAACCCTCAGGTCTTTCTCTCTCTCTGACTCTTGATGTATTTCATCTCCCAAGTGATACCTTGTATCTATTCTCCTGCTTCCTACTCCTATCTTCATTACATTACATTTGCTTGGGTTAAACTCTAACATCCATTTGTTCGACCATTCCTGCAGCTTGTCCAGGTCTTCTTGAAGCCTCAAGCTGTCCTCCTCTGTCTTAATCCTTCTCATAATTTTGGCGTCGTCAGCAAACATTGAGAGGAATGAGTCTATACCCTCTGGGAGATCATTTACGTATATCAGAAACAGGATAGGTACAAGCACAGAGCCCTGTGGGACTCCACTAGTGACTTCCCGCCATTCTGAGGTATCACCCCTCACTATAACTCTCTGCTTCCTATTGCTTAGGTACTCCCTTATCCACTGGAGCGCCCTACCAGTTACTCCTGCCTGTTTCTCCAGCTTATGCATCAACCTTTTATGGGGTACTGTGTCAAAGGCTTTCCGACAGTCCAAAAAAATGCAGTCCGCCCATCCTTCTCTTTCTTGCTTAATCTTTGTCACCTGATCATAGAATTCTATCAAGCCTGTAAGGCAAGATTTACCCTCCCTGAACCCATGTTGATGGGTTGTCACGAAGTCTCTTCTCTCCAGATGTGTTACTAGGTTTTTTCTCACAATCTTCTCCATCACCTTGCATGGTATACAAGTTAAGGACACTGGCCTGTAGTTCAGTGCCTCTTGTCTGTCACCCTTTTTAATTATTGGTACTACATTAGCAGTCTTCCATATTTCTGGAAGGTCTCCCGTTTCCAGTGACCTACTATACACTATGGAGAGTGGCAAGCTAAGTGCTCCTGCACACTCTTTCAATACCCATGGTGAGATTCCATCCGGCCCAACAGCTTTTCTCACATCCAGCTCCAATAGGTGCTTCTTGACCTCATCTCTTGTAATTTCGAACCTTTCCAAGGTCACCTGGTAAGCTGCCACCTCTCCTAGCACCGTGACTTCTCCCTGTTCTATTGTAAAGACCTCCTGGAACCTTTTGTTGAGTTCTTCACACACCTCTTTGTCATTCTCTGTGTACCTGTCCTCGCCCACCCTAAGTTTCATCACCTGTTCCTTCACTGTTGTCTTCCTCCTGATGTGACTGTGTAGTAGCTTTGGTTCGGTCTTGGCTTTATTAGCTATATCATTTTCATACCTTTTCTCAGCTGCTCTTCTCACACTAACATACTCGTTCCTGGTTCTCTGGTATCTCTCTCTACTTTCTGGTGTTCTGTTATTACGGAAGTTCCTCCATGCCCTTTTGTTCAGCTCCTTTGCTTTCATACATTCCCTATTAAACCATGGATTCTTCCTTTGCTTCTCTGTTTTTTCCCGTTGGGCTGGGAAAAACCTGCTTACAGCCTCCTGACATTTTTGGGTGACATAGTCCATCATGTCTTGTACAGACTTGGTTCCGAGTTCTGTGTCCCAATGTATATCCCATAGGAATTTATTCATCTCCTCATAGTTTCCCTTTCGGTACGCCAGCCCTTTGTTTCCCAGTTCTTTTTTGGGGGTGATAATTCCTAGCTCAACCAGGTACTCAAAGCTCAATACACTATGATCACTCATTCCCAAGGGGGCTTCCAACTTAACTTCCCTTATATCCGACTCATTTAGGGTAAATATCAGATCAAGCAAGGCTGGTTCATCCCCTCCTCTCGTTCTTGTCGGTCCCTTGACGTGTTGACTTAGAAAGTTTCTTGTTGCCACATCCAGTAGCTTAGCTCTCCATGTGTCTGGGACTCCATGTGGGTCTCTGTTCCCCCAATCTATCTTTCCATGGTTGAAGTCTCCCATGATTAGTAGCCTGGATCCGTTCCTGCAAGCCACAGAAGTTGCTCTCTCTATTATATTGATGTGTGTGTGTTTGTGTGTGCCTGAGTGTATGTGTGTACGTGTATGTTATTGTTTGCGTGCCTGAGTGTGTGTTTGTGTATGTTATTGTTTGTGTGCCTGAGTGTGTGTTTGTGTATGTTATTGTTTGTGTGCCTGAGTGTTTGTGTGTGTGTGTACAAATTTTATTCACCTAGTTGTGTTTGCAGGGGTTGAGCTTTACTCTTTCGGCCCGCCTCTAAACTGTCAATCAACTGTTTACTAACTACTTTATTTTTTCTCCACACGCACACACACCCCAGGAAGCAGCCCGTGACAGCTGACTAACTCCATGGTACCTATTTACTGCTAGGTAACAGGGGCATTCAGGGTGAAAGAAACTTTGTTTCTGCCTGGTGCGGTAATCGAACCCGCGCCACAGAATCACGAGTCCTGCGCGCTATCCACCGGGCTACCATGCCCCCAAAGCTAACGTGTATGTTATTGTTTGTGTGCCTGAGTGTGTGTGTGTTTTGTGTGTGTTTGTTTGTGTGTACGTGTATGTCACTGTTTGTGTGGTTGAGTGTGTGTGTGTGTGTGTGTGTGTGTGTGTGTGTGTGTGTGTGTGTGTGTGTGTGTGTGTGTGTGTGTGTGTGTGTGTGTGTGTTTGTATGTACGTGTATGTCATTGTTTGTGTGACATACTTTGTGTGGGTGAGGGTCAGGGAGTGGGTGAGTGTCAGGGAGTGGGTGAGGGTCAGGGAGTGGGTGAGGGTCAGGGAGTGGGTGAAGGTCAGGGAGTGGGTGAGGGTCAGGGAGTGGGTGAGAGTCAGGGAGTGGGTGAGGGTCAGGGAGTGGGTGAGGGTCAGGGAGTGGGTGAGGGTCAGGGAGTGGGTGAGGGTCAGGGAGTGGGTGAGGGTCAGGGAGTGGGTGAGGGGTCAGGGAGTGTGTGAGAGTCAGGGAGTGGGTGAGGGTCAGAGAGTGGGTGAGGGTCAGGGAGTGGGTGAGGGTCAGGGAGTGGGTAAGGGTCAGGGAGTGGGTGAGGGTCAGGGAGTGGGTGAGGGTCAGGGAGTGGGTGAGGGTCAGGGAGTGGGTGAGGGTCAGGGAGTGGGTGAGGGGTCAGGGAGTGGGTGAGGGTCAGGGAGTGGGTGAGGGTCAGGGAGTGGGTGAGGGTCAGGGAGTGGGTGAGGGTCAGGGAGTGGGTGAGGGTCAGGGAGTGGGTGAGGGTCAGGGAGTGGGTGAGGGTCAGGGAGTGTGCGAGAGTCAGGGAGTGGGTGAGGGTCAGGGAGTGGGTGAGGGTCAGGGAGTGGGTGAGGGTCAGGGAGTGGGTGAGGGTCAGGGAGTGGGTGAGGGTCAGGGAGTGGGTGAGGGTCAGGGAGTGGGTGAGGGTCAGGGAGTGGGTGAGGGTCAGGGAGTGGGTGAGGGTCAGGGAGTGTGTGTGGGTCAGGGAGTGTGTGTGGGTCAGGGAGTGGGTGAGGGTCAGTGAGTGGGTGAGGGTCAGGGAGTGGGTGAGGGTCAGGGAGTGGGTGAGGGTCAGGGAGTGGGTGAGGGTCAGGGAGTGTGTGTGGGTCAGGGAGTGTGTGTGGGTCAGGGAGTGGGTGAGGGTCAGGGAGTGGGTGAGGGTCAGGGAGTGGGTGAGGGTCAGGGAGTGGGTGAGGGTCAGGGAGTGGGTGAGGGTCAGGAAGTGGGTGAGGGTCAGGGAGTGTGTGAGGGTCAGGGAGTGGGTGAGGGTCAGGGAGTGGGTGAGGATCAGGGAGTGGGTGAGGGTCAGGGAGTGGGTGAGGGTCAGGGAGTGGGTGAGGGTCAGGGAGTGGGTGAGGGTCAGGGAGTGGGTGAGGGTCAGGGAGTGTGTGAGGGTCAGGGAGTGGTTGAGGGTCAGGGAGTGGGTGAGGGTCAGGGAGTGGGTGAGGGTCAGGGAGTGGGTGAGGGGTCAGGGAGTGGGTGAGGGTCAGGGAGTGGGTGAGGGTCAGGGAGTGGGTGAGGGTCAGGGAGTGGGTGAGGGTCAGGGTGCGGGTGAGGGTCAGGGAGTGGGTGAGGGTCAGGGAGTGGGTGAGGGTCAGGGAGTGGGTGAGAGTCAGGGAGTGGGTGAGGGTCAGGGAGTGAGTGAGGGTTAGGGAGTGGGTGAGGGTCAGGGAGTGGGTGAGGGGTCAAGGAAGAATGGGTGGGGGAATTTGATTTAGCAGAGGAGGTCAGAGGTCTGATCAATATCAGGTAATGGGTGTGGTTGTGGGGTGTGGTTGTGGGGTGTGGTTGTGGGGTGTGGTTGTGGGGTGTGGTTGTGGGGTGTGGTTGTGGGGTGTGTTTGTGGGGCGTGGTTGTGGGGTGTGGTTGTGGGGTGTGGTTGTGGGGTGTGGTTGTGGGGTGTGGTTGTGGGGTGTGGTTGTGGGGCGTGGTTGTGGGGTGTGGTTGTGGGGTGTGGTTGTGGGGTGTTGTTGTGGGGTGTGGTTGTGGGGTTTGGTTGTGGGGTGTGGTTGTGGGGTGTGGTTGTGGGGTGTGGTTGTGGGGTGTGGTTGTGGGGTGTGGTTGTGAGTGTGGTTGTGGGGTGTGTTTGTGGGGTGTGGTTGTAGGGTGTGGTTGTTGGGTGTGGTTGTAGGGTGTGGTTGTGGGGTGTGGTTGTGGGGTGTGGTTGTAGGGTGTGGTTGTGGGGTGTGGTTGTGGGGTGGGGTTGTGGGGTGTGGTTGTGGGGTGTGGTTGTGGGGTGTGGTTGTGGGGTGTGGTTGTGGGGTGTGGTTGTAGGGTGTGGTTGTAGAGTTTGGTTGTGGGGTGTGGTTGTGGGATGTGGTTGTGGAGTGTGGTTGTGGAGTGTGGTTGTGGTGTGTGGTTGTAGGGTGTGCTTGTAGAGTTTGGTTGTGGGGTGTGGTTGTGGGGTGTGGTTGTGGGGTGTGGTTGTAGGGTGTGGTTGTGGGGTGCGGTTATGGGATGTGGTTGTGGGGTGTGGTTGTTGGGTGTGGTTGTGAGGTGTGGTTATGGGTTGGGGTTATGGGGTGTGGTTGTGAGTGTGGTATTTAGGTGTGGTTGTGGGATATTGTTGTGGTGTGTGGTTGTGGGGTGTGGTTTTGGGGGTATGGTTATAGGGTGTGGTTGTAGGGTGAGGTTGTGGGGTCTGGTTGTGGGGTGTGGTTGTTGTGTGTGGTTGTGGGGTGAGGTTGTGAGGTGTGGTTGTGGGGTGTGGTTGTGGTCGTTTGGTTGTGGGGTGTGGTTGTGGGGTGTAGTTGTAGGGGTGTGGTTGTGGTGTGAGGTTGAGGGGTGTGGTTGTATTGTGTGGTTGTGGGGTGTGGTTGTAATGTGAGGTTATAGGATGTGGTTGTGGGGTGTGGTTGTGGGATGTGGTTGTATTGTGTGGTTGTGGGGTGTGGTTGAGGGTGGGGTTGTGGGGTGTGGTTGTGGGGTGAGATTGTTGTGGGGTGTGGTTGTGGTTTGAGGTTGAGGGGTATGGTTGTGGGGTGTGGTTGTAGGATGTGGTTGTGGGGTGTGGTTGTATTGTGTGGTTGTGGGGTGTGGTTGTGGGATGTGGTTGTGGGGTGAGGTTGTGGGCTGTGGATGTTGGAACACAACTGTGTCCCCTTGTTCGCGTACCACCCGTGTTGTACACTTTATCTTTATCTGCCTTGACAATTCCTCTGAGAATTTTGTAGGTATTGATCATGTCTCCCCGAGTTCTACTGTCTTCCAGCGACGTGAGGTACATTCCACGCAGCCTGTCCTCGTAACTCATACATCATAAACTCATGCCCCATGTAAACATGTGTGTGTTTATGTGTACGTGTATGTTATTGTTTGAGTGCCTGTGTGCGTGCGTGTGTACGTGTATGATATTGTTTGAAGGCCTGTGTGCATGTGTGTGTGTGTGTTTTTATGTGTACTTGTATGTTATTGTTTGAGTGCTTGTGTGTGTGTGTGTTTATGTGAACATGTATGCTATAGTTTGAGTGCCTGTGTGCATGTGTGTGTGTGTGTTTATGTGTACGTGTATGCTTTTGTTTGAGTGCCTGTGTTCTCACCTAATTCACTTAATTGTACTCACCTAATTGTGCTTGCGGGGGTTGAGCTTTGTCTCATTGGTCCCGCCTCTCAACTGTCAATCAACTGATGGTCAGAGTCCTGAGCCTACCGGGCGCTATCATATCTACATTTGAAACTGTGTATGGAGTCAGTCTCCACTTACATCATTACACACAGAAATCACACTAACGTGATGTATCCAATAAACAAATCCACAAGGACCGTGACGAGGATTCGAACCTGCATCCGGGAGCATCCCAGACACTGCCTTAATCGACTGAGCTACGACAGGGTAAAAGAGTTGAAATCGAAGTTCTACTGAACTTACTGGATCCCGCAGCCTCTCCGAGGCACAAACCAGGATTTTACACAACTCCTAGCACTCGAGCTATGTCAATAGGCCGTTCTCCTTCAGTAGAACTTCGGTTTCATCTCTTTTTTCCCCTGTCGTAGCTCAGTCGATTAAGGCAGTGTCTGGGATGCTTCCGGACGCAGGTTCGAATCCTCGTCACGGTCCTTGTGGGTTTGTTCAGCCTCCACCACATAACTTCCTAGTGCTTTCTATTTATTTACCACTCTGACAGTGAAAAAATTCTTTCTAACGTCTCTGTGGTTCATCTGGGTACTAAGTTTCCACTCTGTCCCCTTGTTCGTGTTCCACCCGTGCTGAAGAGTTAGTCTTTGTCCACCCTGTCAATTCCCCTGATAATTTTGTAGGTGGTTATCATGTATCCCCTTGCATTTCTCTTTTCCAGGGACGTGAGATTCAGCTCCTTTAGCCTATCCTCGAAGCTCATACCTCTCAGTGACATACCGCTGAATCTTCTCTAACTTAGTCTTGTGTTTAACTAGGTATGTACTCCAGGCTGGAGCTGCATATTCCAGGATTGGTCTGACATATGTGGTATACAGGGGTGTGTCAGTGCGTATGTGTGTTTGTGTGTACGTGTATGTTATTGTTTGAGTGCCTGTGTGTGTGTGTGTGTGTGTTTGTGTGAACGTGCATGCTATAGTTTGAGTGTCTGTGTGCGTGCGTGTGTGTGCTTATGTCTACGTGTATGTTATTGTTTGAATGTCAGTGTGTGTGCCCGTATGCGTGCAGGTGTGTAAACATGTGGACATGTCCCTAAAATGTGTAATCCATATGTGTGGTGTTCTCCCTCCACAGGTGAGTCCTGTGCTCAGTACCACCAAGGTGGGTGGTGGTACAGTGACTGCAGTGATGTTCTTCCCACGGCTCCCAAAAATTTCTTGAAGACATGGTACTGGAAGCCAGGTGACAGCTGCCCGGTGTATCTCCAGCAGCTACAGCTGATGACACGACCCCAGAACTTCCCAACTTGTCACCAGTGATTGTTGGTAAGTTAATGTGCTGGTGAGCTGGTACTTGTGGTGGTTGTGGTGAGCTGGTACTTGTGGTGGTTGTGGTGAGCTGGTACTTGTGTGTGGTTGTGGTGAGCTGGTACTTGTGGTGGTTGTGGTGAGCTGGTACTTGTGGTGGTTGTGGTGAGCTGGTACTTGTGGTGGTTGTGGTGAGCTGGTACTTGTGGTGGTTGTGGTGAGCTGGTACTTGTGGTGGTTGTGAGTAGTAGGGTGTAAGACTCACAGGGGATTTTTTTTTTCAGGCCAGAGATCCCCTGTGAGTCGTACGACTCACAGGGGATTTTTTGTTTGAGGTCCAATATCCCCTGTGAGTCGTTGGGGGTTTCAGGTGAATTTGGGCAGTCACAGATTTGGAAGTAAGGAATTCTTATGAGAAAAATAATTTCCGAGATCTTAGAAGTTTGTTAAGCATTCTTATGATGAAAATAAGTAAGAAAATCTTAAAGAAAAGTTTTAGAAAAAATCGTGTTTGTGTCACAGCATTTCCAGGTGAACTCTACGGACATATCTTGCCTGTTTTCAACTTCGGAAAAAATCCCCTGTGTGAGCCATGGTTTTCAGGTTCCAATATCGTCTGTGTGAGCCAGGGTTTTCAGGTGAATTTTGTCAATCACAGATTTTAGAATTTTGTTAAAGTTCTTATCATGAAATAATGTCATACGAGTTTTGTTAAAGTTCATATGGGAGAAAACTCAAATTTTTCAGAGTTCAGTTTTAAGAAAATATTTCAGAGTTTCAAATAATCATAGAAGTTTATTTATATGTTTATGACCGAATTTGTAAAAGGTCCATTTTCAGAGAATATTGTCTTAGATGTTTTGTTAAGGAAAACAGACAACTTAGCCATAACATTTAGTTTTATATCCATTTACGGCTATTTCACCTGTAAAGACCAAAATTGAACAGAGCCCAGTTATAGACAGAATTTCGTCAGAGACCATTTATACCTAAAAATGAATAGAGTCCACTTTGTGAGCAAAATTAGTCAGAGACAGTTTTTAGCTCATATTTCATCAGAGTCCATTTTATACCCAATTTTCGTCAGAGTCTACTTTGAGAGCAAAATTAGTCAGAAACAGTTTTAAGCTCAAATTTCATCAGAGTCCAATTATCAACAGAAATTCGCCAGTCTACTTTGAGAGCAAAATTAGTCAGAGACAGTTTTAAGCTGAAATTTCATCAGAGTCCAATTATCAACAGAAATTCGCCAGAGTCTACTTTGAGAGCAAAATTAGTCAGAGACAGTTTTAAGCTCAAATTTCATCAGAGTCCAATTATCAACAGAAATTCTCCAGAGTCTACTTTGAGAGCAAAATTAGTCAGAGACAGTTTTAAGCTCAAATTTCATCAGAGTCCTGTAATCTGCGAAAATTTGACAGAGTCCATTTTATACCCAATTTTCGTCAGAGTCTACTTTGAGAGCAAAATTAGTCAGAGACAGTTTTAAGCTCAAATTTCATCAGTGTCCTGTAATCTGTGAAAATTCATCAGAGTCCAGTTAAAGACCAAAATTTGACAGAGACCACATTTTCGCTACTATCAGTCCAATCCCCCTGAAATTTTAAACAGTCATATTTCAGACGTAGTAAATAAGATCAAGTCAGTTACTGAGCTCCAGCTCTTGTCCCCCTGTATTTGCATATTTACTCTATATTCAGCTGTGTTCTTCACATTTTTTCCATGTTTTCTGTGTTCATTCCATGTTCTACAAATGTTCACAGCATGCTCAGTTCAATTCTTTTCACCTGTTTTTCTCATTTTCTGTTTTCTATCATTTTCCCCGTATGTTCACTATGTTCTTTATCATGTTTTCATGTACATCATATGTTCTCTGTATAACTTTTATACTCAATATTCATGTTCTCAATGTTCTTAGCTTGTTCTTCACATGTTCAGTGTTCATTCTTTGTATTCCCTATGTTCCTTATCCATGTCTTCATATTCTCTATAAGTTCATATTCCCTGCATGTTCACTCTATTCATCAACTTTTTCTTACATGTTTTCTGTGTTCACTGTATGTTCACTGTGTTCATTACAGCAATACAGTTCCCTCAACAATTTTAGTCACCCAGTTTTATTTGCAAAAACTATGTCAAAGTAATTCTCATTGTCAACTAAATAGTTCTACCAACCCTGTTCTTAAACAAATCTACACTTTATTCAGTTCCAAATTTACAAAAGACAAACTTTTCTTGTAACTTCTTAACTAAAATCTTTCGCCAATCAACCAAAAATTGTCAAACGAATCTTTCCAACACTGTTCATAACTAAACTTATTCCATAGTCAACAGAAAATAACCGTGTTCTTAATGTTTCATTGTCATTTCATAACTAAAAATTATCCATCAATCAACAGAAAAAGTCATATTCATCATTGTTCCTAACTAAAATTATGTTTTCGTCAAGTAAGAAAGTATAGTCAAAGATATCTATCATTGTCGTTCTTAACTGACATTTATACTTTGTGGAGCACTAAAATAGTCACTGTCTTCATATTTTTTTTCTTTGTCTTTCCTCAACTAAAATAGTCAAATGTAACTTTTTCAACACTTTCGTAACTAAAATTATATGCCGCTAAGTAAGAAAAATAGTCAAATGTAACTTTTTCAGCACTTTCGTAAAAATTATATGTCGTTAAGTAAGAAAAATAGTCAAAGGTGCTCTCCGTAACACCAAAGTTACTCTTCGAGATAACAAAAAGACACTCTCAAACACTCAAAATTTACTCGCATCCTCAAAGTTATTCTCAGAGTCATCAAAAAGTTAATCTCAGTCATCAAAATGCTATTCTCTAAGTAGCCTTTCGTTCATCAGAGAAACTTTCTAAGACATCTTCGTTCATTAAAGTTAGTCTCAGAGGCATCAAAGTTATTCCAAGAGCCGTCAAAGTTAATCTAAGACATCATTTTTCATCAAAGATATTCTCTCTAAGCCATCAATGTTCTTCTCTAAGACATAAAAGTTATTCTCAGAGTCACCTTCGTTCTTCAGAGAAACTTTCCAAAACATCTTTGTTCATCAAAGTTATTCTCGGAGTCATCAAAAGGTATTCTCTAACTCACTTTTGGTCATTAAAGTTAATTTCTATGTTATAAAAGTTTGTCTCAGAGACATCTAAAGTTAATCTTAGAGTTATCAAATGTAATCTCTAACTCACTTTTGTTCATCAAAGTTGATCTCAGAGTTAACAAAGGTAATCTCTAACTCACTCTCGTTCATCAAAGTTGTTTCAAAGACATCAAAGTTAATCTCAGAGTTAACAAAGGTAATCTCTAACTCACTCTCGTTCATCAAAGTTGCACTCAAAGACATCCTTTGAGACATCAAAGACATCCTTTAAGACATCAAAGTTATTCTCAGAGGCGTAAAAGCTATTCTCAGAGTCATAAAAGTTATTCTCAGAGACATGAAAGTTATTCTCAGAGACATAAAAGTTATTCTCTAAGTAACCTTTCGTTCGCCAGAGAAACTTTCTAAGACATCTTCGTTCATTAAAGTTAATCTCAGAGGCATAAAAGTTATTCTCAGAGCTATCAAACTTGTTCTCAAAGTCATCAAAGTTATTCCAAGAGCCGTCAAAGTTAATCTAAGACATCATCTTTCATCAAAGATATTCTCTCTAAGCCATCAATGTTCTTCTCTAACTCACTTTTGTTCATCAAAGTTGATCTCAGAGTTAACAAAGGTAATCTCTAACTCCCTCTCGTACGTCAAAGTTGTTTCAAAGACATCAAAGTTATTCTCAGAGTTATCCAAAGATATTCTCATGTCCACAAAAGTTATTCTGAGCTATCAAAGTTAATCTCAGACATCTCCGTTCATGAAAGTTATTCTCTAAGAGCTATCAAAAAGTTATTCTCAGTCATGAAATGTTATTCTCTAAGTAACTTTCCGTTCATCAAAGTTATTCTCTCTAAGCCATCAATGTTCTTCTCTAAGACATAAAAAGTTATTCTCTGTCATCAAAAAGTTATTCTCTGAGCTAACAAAATACTACTCATGTTCTCAAAGACATTCTCAAAGTCATCAAAGTTATTCTAAGAGCTAACAAAAGTTATTCGCAGAGTCACCTTCGTTCTTCGGAGAAACTTTCCAAAACATCTTTGTTCATCAAAGTTATTCTCGGAGTCATCAAGAGGTATTCTCTAACTCACTTTTGTTCATTAAAGTTAATTTCTATGTTATAAAAGTTATTCTCAGAGACCTCTAAAGTTATTATGTAAGACATAAAAGTTATTCTCAGAGTCATCCAAGTTGTTCTCTAAGACATCAAAGTTGTTCTCTAAGACATCAATGTTGTTCTCTAAACCATAAAAGTTAATCTCTAAGTCACCTTCGTTTATTAGAGAAACTTTCCAATCCATCTTAGTTGATCAAAGTTATTCTCAGAATCATCAAAGAGATCTCTAATTCACCTTCGTTCACCAAAAAGCTGTTCTCTAAGACACCTTCGTTCATCAAAGAAACTCGCCTTCCATCATGTTATTCTTTAAGATATCTTCAGTCATAAAATTTCTCTCCAAAATGTAACTAGTTCAGCTTTTCATACCAAACCTGCACTTCTGTTAAAATATATTTTCTTAGTCGCTTTACCCTAAAACTCTGAACTACACTGTTCAAACCTACGTAACCTATCCTCTCCACCCAATGTTACTTAGTTAACGTAACGTTCCTAAACCTAACTTTACCTATCCTAACTTAACTTACCTTACCTTTACCTATCTTACCTAACTTAACCTGCATAACCTAACTTTACCTATCCTAACATAACTTACCTTACCTTACCTATCTTACCTAACTTTACTTATCTTACCTAACTTAACCTGCATAACCTAACTTTACCTATCCTAACATAACTTACCTTACCTATCTTACCTAACTTAACCTTCATAACCTAACTTTACCTATCCTAACATAACTTACCTTACCTTACCTATCTTACCTAACTTTACCTATCCTAACATAACTT